ACTTGGTCATCAGTTATCAATCAGGTGTGAAAACAGAAAGGATATTCGTTAAGTGTAGGAAGTTTTATCAAACAGAATCTCAGAGTGATAATTGGCTTTAACCTTCAGGAGAACCTAAGCACCCGTTGTGAAAACATAGCAGCAAGCATATCTTGATTAAAGTCAAAATTGCAGCACAAGTGTACTGCCAACCACTTGATTGTCTGTCCTTGATAATTTTTTAACTAATGGCTACACTTTGTTTTTAACAAAGAAAAGATGATTTAAAGCATGTATTGCCTTCTCAAGACTGCTGGGTTAATATAAATGAGTAGTGACCTCTGACCAAAGTGATCTATTGGTGTTTGACACAAGGTGGTGTTCTGTAAGTGCTCATTTGTTTATACATTTTCCAACTAAAGTGGTAAAAGTGGAATATTAGTTTTATCAGGACTTTTCTGGCCATTAAGTATGCTTTTCAGCAAGGTGGGGGAAACTAGACCATAAAATTGAACTTAAAATAAAAAGCAGGTAACTGCAGAGATCATGAGATATGTATTATCCTGGTTCACTATAGGAAAAGGACTGTTTTCACCAGGAGGTGTCACTGTAGCAGTGGGAAATAGAGATACATTTTCCTAAGGGAGTAAGTCAAAAGGCAAAAAGGCTATATAGAGAGAGTTAAGTTTTTCACAGAAATTGGATTGTGTCATGCCCTGAGTAACCACAGATTCTATACACTGCAGATTTCCACTGTCTCTGGTTTTATACAAGGAGAGAGAAATGTTTGGAGTAATGCATACTGTTAGAGTCTAATGTTACACCCACAGAAGTCAACAGCAAAGCCATCATTACTTCAAAGCTGCAATATTGGAGTGTAAATGATTGGCCAAGATTTGCAAAGGTGTGATTTTCAATGACACATTTTCTGTGTTAATCTGAGGAGCCTCAAAAGGGTCTAATTTTTAGAAAGTGCAGTGCATCTGCCTTCTGAGATGGGTCTCGAATTGGGCACCAAGAAACTTCAGCCATCAAAAGCACTCATTCCTTGTGAAAATTGTGTCTCATGTTCCCCATGCAAGCGACAGTATCTTCTCATTGTACAGTGTACTAGAGACCTCTTTACGTATGCCTCAAAGCCATATATGGTTTTCTTCTGCCCCATGAAAAATTCATGTTATGAACTGAGACATCTTGAGCTTAGGTTTTGTTGTTTGGGGTTCTGCTTTTCAAACAATTTAGTCTGAGTTACCTAATAATTCAAGGAACACTTGTTCTCTTGAAGCTTGGAAGGAGTTAATAAACAGTATGGAGTCTTCCAGAAACGGAAAACCCCATAGGGGGGACAGTGGGAAAGGGTTAACAGGGATGATGTAACTCATGCATATTGGTCAAAGTGAAAGCTCAATCCTGTGGGTGTAATAAATAATCTTTGAGTGCCGGAGAGCCTTGTTGAATACTTGTGGCCTCTCTGCCATTAATCAGAAACCACAGATTGTGGGATTGGCTGGCCAAACATTAATCATTAAGCAATTAATTCCAGCCCTGGAACAAAACTTTGTAATTTCCTCAATAGGTGGGACTAAGGAAGGCTCAACATGTTTTTGTTTCCTCAAGACAATTCAAATAACCTTTTCAACTCTCCATTAGGTAACATATTTATCATGAGATGGAAAAGAAGAACTTCTTTATTATTTAGGTCTTACCATAACCACTTCCTTTGTGAAAGGAAGAACAAAAAACCCTCCCCTATTTTGTAAGGAAGCAGTTGGCTCGTGCCTAAGCCTTCTTGTACATATGGCACTAATAAAAGGCCTCTCGTGCAATTTTCATCCAGGTCTTGAGGGTTCCAAAGCAGGCTGGAGAGATCTTTTCAGTACCTTGAGCAATGTTGCCAGCTCTCAGTTTTTATGGTGAGTTTCAGTAAAACTCCAGCTTCTGGCACTTTGGAATTACCTCAGAATGTCAGCTTCCATTTTTTGAATTTTTTTTAAAGCTTTTAGCTCTCATGGTTGTTGAAAACATGAATCTTAAAGGTTCAAACACCAGAAAGCAAATAAAAATAACTCCAAATATCGAATATAATTTTAAAATCTCATGATTTTAAGCCAACTTCATTGTTGTGGAATCCTGAACTCATAACCCGTGTATATCCATATAACTATAGAGGAATGTCTTCAAAGTGTCAGTCTTGTAAGCAAACAAATATGTTTTTCTGTGTTCTGTGTGATAAGATATATTTGCATTCTGTAGTGTCTATTCTTTGTGAAGGATAACGTGTTTTTACAAACTGTACATATGATGTATGCATCACTTATCTTCCACTAAGGCCTGTCTACACTACCACTTCTGCTGGTATAACTTTGTCACTTGGGAGTGTGAACAAAACACACCCCTGAGAGACATAATTACGTTGACTCCAGTGTTGGTGTGGAGAGCACTGTGTCAGTGAGAGAGCTTTCACTGTCATGGAAGTGGTTTATTATGTCAACAAGAAGAGCGACTACATGCGTGATCTTACGGAGGGCAGCATAGCTGTGTCGCTATAGCTATGTTGCTGTAAACTCTCTAGTGTAGACATGGCCTAAGATGCAGCAAACACTTCGGTGGTGAAATTAAAGAGATGTTACTATTCTTATATCGGGGAAGACGACCTCCCTGAAGTCAATGTAAAGTTGTCCATTGGCATCAGAGGAAGTTGGATCAGTCCCAGTGTGTCTCTGAAAAGGAAGAGAAGAATAGCTCTTTCAGTGCGAAACAGAACAGAAAACATTTAGGGTAGGTAGAATACAGGCTGTTCTGAGAAGTAGAGTGTTTTATATTTATGCCTGATTTCAGGCTCATTACATAAGTCAATTACTTAGCTGAGCAAAACTTTCTTTAGGACTTTTGCTTCAAGAGTATCAAATTTAGCTAATATGTACGGCAAATTCACTGTATAGCCCTGAGATCCTAACTGTGAGTGTTTTTTATTTCCTTCTTTCCGCCATCTGTGAATAGTCACGTTTAAGGAAACAGGATGTTGGCTTGAAAAGTCATCTAGATCAACTGGACCAGCAAATAAGTGAACTGAAGCTGGACGTCAGGAAGACTTCTAGTGACTACCTCGACAGTGACAGCAGACCCAGCTCAGGTAATGCACTCTTGACAATTTATGTATTATGGTTCTAGTGGAATTTGTATGAATTCAGAGACTCAGAGGATCTAAGGATCCTCAGAAGGATTCATTAAATCTAGTTTGACTTCTTAAACTACACGGGCCATTCAATGTCACCCAGTTACCCCTGTATGGAGCCCAATAGCTCGTGTTTGGCTAAAGAATATCTTTCAGAAAGGTATCCAGTCTTGATCTGAAAACATTTAGCAAGAGAGAATCCACCACTTCCTTTGGTAGTTGTTCCAGCAGTCAGTCACCCTCATTGCTAATAATTTGTGTCTGATTTCTAATCTGAATTTGTCTGGCTTCAGCGTCCTGCCACTGGTTCTTGTTATGCTTCTTTTTCTGCTAAATTAGAGACCCTGTTGGAGCCTGGTGTTTTCTCCCTGGGAAGGTACTTATACTCTAATCAAGTCAGCTCTCAATCTTTTTGATGGGCTCTTTTCACTGTAAGGAATTTTCTGCAGCTCTCAAACTGTATTTGTGACTCTTTTCTGCACCCTCTCTAATTTTTCAACATCCTCTTAAAAATGCGGATATGAGGACTGGATGCAGTGTTCTAGTTCAGTCACACCAATGCCATGCAGAGGTAAAATCAGTGTCTCTGCTCCTATTCATTTCTTTATACATCCATGGATCACATGAGTCCTTTTTGCTACAGCATGACACTGGGAACTCATGTTCAGTTGCTTGTTTACTGTAACCCGTAAATGTTTTTCAGAATCCCTGCTTTTCAGGATACAACCTCCACCCCCCACTTGCATTTTGTAGGTATGGAACTGCTAAATGAAACACCATGCATTAATTAACCATAAAATAATATCCCTTTTGTAAAGTTAAAAAATTGTGCAATGATTTTTTTCTGCAGCCTTGTCTAAGAGTGGAGCATAAATTACTTTCCATCATTCTCTCTCTTTGGGTACAGTTAGAATATTGAGTCCTCTGTTTTTGGTTACTCCACTTGAGACACATGAAAGATGCCGTATTTTCAGAAAGTGGTAAGTACCACCTTCTGAAAAACCAGACTCTTTTAAGATGCCTCAAGATCGGATAACTAAAAACCGAGACACTCACAGTCCTATTTGAAATTTGACACTATTATTTTGTGAGAAGAAAAAAGACATAGGAATGGATTAAAAAGCTCAGCATTCATTTGAACTTCAAGCTTGTTAAAATGTGACCATGGGTGCTTAAGTATGTGCTCACTTGTTACGCTGGAGGGCCTCAGTGAATCTGATTGAGCCCCGTAAACTGTGGTTGAACTGGAGTGTATCTTGTCGAGGGACATCCAGCCTCAATCAAAAAAAACCCTCAGTGATTGTGAATTTTACCAATCTAGCAAAGAGGATTTATTGTTTATCCACCATAAGTCTGAAAGAGTTTTGTATTTATTTGAACTCTACAGGCTTCTACGACCTGAGCGACGGTGGCTCCTGCTCACTGTCCAACTCTTGCACATCTGTGTATAGTGAATCCATGTCCTCCTCCCACACCAGTCTGTTGCCCAGCTATCAACAGCCCAAAACACGGCTCAGTGTCTTTGATTACCGGCCCAAGTCTGCAGACGAAACCACTGTGCACCACACCACTCAGTTTCAGCACGAGGGAGTCTATGTCAGCGATGGATGTCGAATCAAGGGTAGCATGGATGCTTCTGGAACCCTTGCCAGGTCCAGACCAAGGCCAGTTTCCACAGGTAATTGGTTGCAGAACTGCATGATGCTAAGCGAAGAGTATCCCGCTTACTGCATTTAGCCTCATCGTGTGCTATATGAATGGTGCAATTAATACAATTGTGTGCATTTGAAAAACACAAAAGCAAGAACAAAAAAATAAAATAAAACTGCTTCCTGCCTGATTTTCAGCTATAGCATAGTTGGGCACCTTTAACTAATAACCGATTAGTAGGATATTTGCACCTAGACAAGCCTATGAAGGCCTGAGAAATTATTGTGATGCTTGTGTGAGAATTTTTTACTACATTTTCCAGCATTAGAGTTTGCAAAAGCATCAAGTTAGCTTTTTTGTGAAAACTCAGTCTCCCCCCAAAAAAGCATCAAGTTAGCTTTTTTGTGAAAATTCAGTCTCAAAGAAAAAAAAATGAGGAAAATTGCAAGCATCTGAGCAGAAGGAGCTGCTTCCCCAGAGCATAGCATGTCTCAGGCAACATTTTCCTACCTACCTTCCCAGCTACTCACATTCATAAGCCTGTTCACATTTAGATTTTACTACAGATTGGGATAATAGACATAGAGTAGTTAATTGCTCTTCCCTGGGTCCCATTGTGGTCTATTGAAATAGATGGGCCTGAGAGCCAGCCTTGGGTACAAATCTTGGGGTCTGATATTGATTGACTTTGTAACCTTGATTCTTCCAAGTTTTCTGGAAAAGACAATTTACCCCATATACAGGGGTCTTGTGAGACATGTAAAAGCTAATTATGGACCCTTATAGTCAGAAATAGAACTTGAGTTCATGATTCCAGTCCTGTCCTTTCTCCTCTTTATCTGTGGTTCTCCATCCTTGCAGTTTCTCTCCATGACCCCATATTTTGCATCAGGAAACCACTCTGGGTGTGAGGTGATGCTGGGTGAAGGGATTAATGTGAGAAAGGTGGAGAAGGAAGGGATGGTGTGTTCCTGGGTGCTATAGCTCATCCCTCCTCTTCTGCCCCAACCACTGCCTGCTGTTTGCTCTATTTCGAGGAAATGCTGCTGTGAGCTGCATGAACAGTGGATTTATGAAGTCCAGGCAGCCAACTCCACAGCACATTAACAGGCAAATCCTGCAAGGTTGAACATGGTGCACAGGAAGTGAGGGAAGAGCTAGTGTGGGTCAAAATAGCATCAACAAGAGAAGGGAGCAAACTTCTCCCTTCCCTCTCCTTTGCTTGACCTCTTTGGGCCTTATTAGGCTGAATTTATTATTCTGCTGGCAGTGTTGTAGCAGTGTTGGCCCCAGGATCAGGGGCGGCAGGTTTGCAGAAATGTTGATGATGCCCAGAGCCTGCACTCTTCCCCCACTGAAAGTCCCTTCCTGCCACCTACCTAAAGCTCTGAGCTAGAGTTTGGGTGCAGGCTCTAGGTTGTGGCAGGTGATTGAAATTGCAGGATGCAGGCTCTGGGAGAGAGTTTGGAGGCAGAAGGGGAACTGCGTGCAGACTGTGGGCTGAGGCAGGGAGTTAAGGTACAAGAGAGGGTGAGATGCTTCTCCGGGAGGGAATATGGGGGCAAGAGAGGGAGTGGGGGTGGGATGCAGGCTCTGGGAGGAGGTGGGGGTGCAATGCTTACTTGGGGCACCACCTCTGGCAGTGGCTACTAGGAGAGGAAGATGGGGGTCTGCATGTCCTGCTGCCCGCAGACACCACTGCCACAGCTTCCCATTGGCCTAAGGCCACTCAGGGTGGGGGCACACATGGATGCATGTGCCAGCAGCTGTGTAGAGCAAGTGGCAGGATGCCACTCTAGACCTGCAGAGTTGCCAGTGAGGGCAGCCTCCGGGGCCATTTTAAATTGCTCAGGGGTGACAGGAAGGGCCAGAGGACTCACCCGGGGGGCGGGGGAACAGGAGGGACCAGAGGAGAGACCATACCCTGAACTTTGGTGGAGCCAGGCTCCGAGTTAGGAATATTCCTAGTGCCCAGGCACCATAGACCCATAGAATTCACCAGCCATGCTGAGGATATTAAAAACAACAACAGAAGCTGGTCCAATAAAAGATAATGACCTCACCACCTTGTCACTCTTTCACTCTCTCTCCCTGGAAGGGGTGGTTTTCTGGGAGCCAGTGATCATCCTCTTGCAACATCCTACTCAGTTTCACACTGCATATTGAAAATCACTGTCCTAGAGTAGGGTTTCTCAGCTCATAAGGCATGACCCAAAATTGGCTTGCCAGAATGGGTCCAAGAGTCCAGGGGCTGATTGAGCTCAGCTCCCCACTCTGGGTTTTACACTCTGGTGCATGGCTTCATATTTCCATTCAAGTTTGGTCCAGCTATCCCTGTCTCATGCTCCTGTGGTGGGGGGGAGTAGGATTAGGACTGGCAGCATCTTGGGAGGTCTTTAGATCATAACATCAAGGTACACAAATGGGTCCTGAGCCAAGAAGGTTGAGAATCACTAGGTTGTGGCAGGTCCAACATACAGGGTTTTTTTTGAAAAAAAGTGGCCTTTTTTTGAAAAAACTTCCCCTGCATCTAGACTGCCGCCACGTTCTTTCAAAATTAGATCGAAAGAACACAGTGGTTTTTTCGACCGCGGCAAAGGAATAATGCCTTTTTTTGAAAGAGAGCATCCAAACTGCCTGGATGCTCTCTTTCGAAAAAGCGAGCTGCTTTTTCGAAAGAAGTGGTTGCATTCTAGGTGCTCTCTTTCGAAAGAGGCTTTTTTGAAAGATTCTTTTGAAAAAGCCTCTTTTGAAAGAGGCTTGCAGTCAAGACATAACCTTAGAGTATGTGAGTGATTTCTCATAGGAGTAGTGATGGTGGCCTCTTGGGAAATTTGCTCCATTACTGGCTGTTTGGATTTTTGTACAGGTTTTTGTTCGTTTTAATTTTCATCCTGTTAAAGAGTGGGTCAGTAGACTATGTTCTGCGGCTGATACCATGTTTGTAATAGTTTCACAAGGCTGATATTAGTCCCATCTCATTTTAGACCAATAGAATAGAACTGTACATGAGTCCTTGCATGAAGAAATATTCCTGGCATTATGTAAGATAGAATATGGGTTAGGATTTTAAGCTCCAGTCCCTTTGCCACTTTTCTTCCTCTGAATGGGAGGTGGAGAACAAATCATTTGTTCAATGCTGGATTCGGAAGACAGAGATGCCAGAACAACCCTCTTTCTTCTATATCCAGCTACACCTAAACTAAGAGCCAGACAAAAAGATATCAGTGTTAAATCCTGTTAATAAGTTCCTCAATCTGGTAAATTTCGTGTGTGTGTGGGGGGGGCAGGGGTGTAGGTATAGATAGACAGATACTTAACACTTCATCCTGCTTGTTGAAATAACCAGGGTGAAAATCTCCCAGTGCATGAGCTGCAGACAGTATGAAATTTGTAAGTCTTCTCATGTTATCTTCAAGTGATACAGAAAAGATCAACACAGTCTGCTTAGCTTTTCTGAAGCTTATTTCTCCTGACTCTTGGGTTTGCTCTGCACCACAAAACAGTGAAGCAAGGAGTTTATCCGGTTCCCTGAGGCATCCCTGTGTGCAAGGGGAATTATTGAGTGGTATAGAACTCTGTCACTTTACTCTACCTTTCCGTAGCTTCTAGCTTAGGGGATGTGTTCTCAGGAGAAAGGGGGACTAGCCAGGTGTTACTTACAGCAGTCCTAAAGTTACTTCAAGTTATGATGGGGTCTGAACTTGCTCCTAGAAACTCCAATTTCAAGGGAACATGTCTAAAGACTTGTCTCTATAGAGAATTAGTGTGAGGCAAGCATGCGGCACTTTAGCATGCCACACAATAACTTGCCGTGTATAACCTGCAGCCATACACTAAATATTCTGTAGTGCACTTTGACCTACTATTGTTTCAAACAGCAGTAGGTCAAAGGGCACACTAGTGGAGCAGCAGGGTCCATACAGCCAGTTATTGTGATGTATATTCACATCCCAGCTGGCCAGGCATTAACTCTCCATTTGGACAAGACCTCAGACACAGTGTAGGATTTAACTCAGGGGTGAAGATAATTCTTAGTCTGTTCCTCCAAATGTCTTTTTTAAAACACACGGACATACCTGCAAAAGAATTTTCCTATTTTCCTCCCATTTAATAAGTCTCTTAAGTGTTGCCTGCTAGAATCTAAGACCTCAAGAACAGTGAGTGCAGGGCAGGTGACTCACTTCTGAAAAGCAGCCCTCTGCAACTTTGTTATCAAATGAATGAAAAAGATCCAATTAAGAGGTCTGGGCGGGAGGATCAGTGGGCCTATAAAATACAAAATGCATCTAAATGGCTTTCCGGTGTAGTTAAACTCTTAGTGCTCACAGCTCTGTGTCACTGAGAAGAATGTGGAAGAACACCAACAATAGCTGCCAGCACTGAAGGGATGTAAGACAATTTGACTTTAGCTCCATTTCAGTCCTTTAAAGCAGTTGGCTCAGGACTGTAGATATCAAAAGACACATGAACCAGGATGGGGAGGGAGGGGAGTTTGGATTCAAAGTTAACCATTAGAACCAATAATGGTAACTGTTTCCCTCATGGGAATTTCAGGAATTTATTTCCTCAGTTGCTATGGGGAAGCCTAACTCTGAGTCTTCAGCCAGCCCAGAGACGAAAGAATTAACAAATTCTGATAGACTTTACTGGATTTTTTTACATGACATTTGACATTATACTTCCTGGTACTTGGATATTATCTACATCTCTGCTGGGAGATAAATACCTTTTAGTTCCATTTTTGGTATGTGTAGGTTTTTAAGAAACTTTTTAAAGCAGCACAAGTGTTGGTTTCCTTTAAATAACCACAGTTTAAAACTCAAGTCAGAGGTGGGTTCAGTCATTTGCTTTTAAAATGATTAGGACAGATTCTGATAATTATATCCCAGTGTAAACCCACTGAAGGCAGCTGTGTTACTCAGGCTTTATACTGGTGTAACTGAAATGAGAATCTGCCCTACTGTATTTATCATTCATTGTTTTTACATAGATGTGTTACTAAAGCATGTGGTCTCAGCTGAAGAAAATATAAAGAAACACAAGAGTTCTTAGGGTACCGTATTTTCCAGCGTATAAGGCGACTGGGCGTATAAGACGACCCCCTAATTTTTTAGTTAAAAGATAGGTTTTCGTCTTATACCCCAGCGCCCCTCCGCCTCCTTGGCTTTGCTCCCGGTGTCCCTGGTCTGCTGGAGACGGTCCCCAGCAGACCAGAGGCACCGGGAGCA